AACAGGATCAAACTGGGTGTTTTTTTTTTTTCATTGCAACATCATCTGTTAAAGTCAAGACGCCGTAGCGTGTGGGAATCCCAGGAGGATGGCTGTTTCTGAGATGCCGGGAACACCCTTCTGGCGGCAGCAATCATAACATGTTTAAAATCACTTAGATCAGGCATCTTAGCCATTCTAATGCTTGGCCAAACAGTAACTGAAACTCTTGACCTTGAACCTCTCTGTATGCTGTATTTAGTCGTAGCCACGTGGTTCACTGTTTTGCAGGAGCTTGCTGTTCGCAATAACAAGAGGTTGTACCAAATGCATGTCTACATACAGTACATTTACTTATTTAACAGATTATTTTATTGAAAATGATGTACAATTGAAAAAGGAGTAATTGTGGGGTTAGGGGCTTTACTCAAGGACCCATTGGTGAACTCTGCTGTCCGCAGGATTTGAACCCGCAACCTTCCAATTACCACCTAGAGTCCAAACCCACAAAGCTGTACACCTCCCCTACTGAAGCGCATATGAATCTGTACCTGGGTCCACATGTACTGTCCCTATCATCCTGGACATTCTCCATAACCTTTCATTTCAGATGATGGTCCAAAGAAAAACCCTCCAGGTACCATTTCCCAAGAGCATTGCAGCACTAGGATGCCCGCAAGCCCTGTTAGACAAATTTATGACCATGATAGTGCTGAAATGCCTTTGGGAAGCAGGCCCCAGTTTGATTGCTGCGTGTTAGCTGACCCCATATGGGTTTGCACATCCAGATGAACTCAAGGCCCATACGGGGTGGTCTTACTTTAGTACGGCCCTTCTGAGTCACCTTAATGCAATTCAAAGTTGTATTTTCTGTTGCTTACAGGGACTAAATGCAGTTGTTGTTCTAAAACACTGCATGGTTCTTAGAACCTGAAATAATGCATGAAATGTATAGGTCACATTTTACGCCATTCATTTAAGTTAATAGATGAGCATTATACGCAGTGCAGTGCCGGTCGAAATTCATGCCACACTCTGGAGGGGGCTCCAGCAGTGAAGCTTGTAGGGGGGGTGGCACTGGAGGTTTCCTAAGTCAGAACCCCTCAGAAGGTGTTGCCCTAGGCGGCCGCCTATGTTACCTAATTGTTTGACCAGCCGTGATTCAGTGCCTTGCAGTGAAGACTGAGCAGAAATTTCCATCAAAACCCTGATATAAAAATTGATTTTCACTTACATAAGCATGACCAAGACAACCACCTTACAAATCAGTGTATCTGTCCCATAGAATGAAAGGAAGCTCATTTGTGAGACAGACACCCAAGAAGAAGAAATGTCTATTCATGGAGCATGTTTGGGCAACACTTTCAGCAGGAGCCTGAAATACAGCAGCATCTCCTGAAAACTCTCCGCACGTCAAAAGCAATTGCTGTGCACCTTAGTTTTGCTGGAGGGACGGCCTGTTTGATCAGATTAGACAGTGATACAGTGCATCCTAAGACCATCTGTTGACTCTTCAGTTTTTTATAACATATGTCTGATCAGCCATGAGATGCATGACGAACTGTGTAACTAATTGTGTGCAGATGAGGTAAGCCTCGCCCTCTTCCCCACCCAGCCACCCCACCCCGCCCCAGCTGCCCTCCCTGGTCTTTTGAAGCTTATAACTGCAACACGGTTTAATACAGACCAGCATTAAGTTGCTTCTCCATGTTGGCATGTTTAGAGAACTTGTGCTGGGTTATTTATTTACTCAAAGAAAAACCTAAAAGAACCATTTAGTGAAGGAACTGTCAGTTATGTGGGCTAGGCTAATTAAACGATTGTGCCCTTCCACATTATACAGTTGTGGAAAAAATTAAGAAACCACTCTATATTTTTAAACAAATCTGCATTTTTAAATCCAGGTTTAATCCTGGTTCTCCTGGCAGAAGGCTACACTGAGCAGCAGGCTGCTTCCAGGTTCAAAATTTCTAAGACAGCAGCACATAAGAATAAGGTGAAGCAGGAGACACTGGGAAAGACCAGAAACCAGCCAGGTAAAAGGCGGAAATGACATTCTAATGCTGATGACTGCTAACTTATCCGACAGTTTCTCATGAATAGCAGGATGACATCAAGTGACCTTCAAAAGGAATGGGGAACATTAAGTGCAGGTGTGACGTGCACTGCTAGGACAGTGTGTATCAGGCTCCTAGAAGCCCCATAAAGCATAAGTCCCATAAAGCAAGGAAGAAGCCCTTTATATATGAGAAGCAGGGAAGAACCAGGCTTCAGTTTGCAAAAAAAAATGTATAGTTTACACAGGTGCTGTCACGTTCGTGGACGGGCGAATGAGGGAGTAGGCGAGAGAGCCGTGATTTCAGGAATACGGGGCTTATTCGGGACAGACAGGCTACGAACATGAAACAATACAATGACAGAACTGGGGAATACTGACCGAGACATGGACCGAATACTAAAGACAGGCTGAACTGAACAAGCAACAGGTGATCACAATCAGGAATTAACACGAGGTAACGAGGTGGGCGTGGCACACACGAGGATCGGACGGAGCTGGGCGTGACAGGTGCATACTTATAAATTGAGAAATGAGTAAAACGAAAAATTGTGCTGTGGTCTCAATTTTTTCCGCAGCTGTATGTACTATTACATAGCACACTGTACAGATATTGTCTATACTTATAATGTTTATTTTGGGATATATTTTTTCTATATATATTCCTTGTCTTCGTTTTAGCCATTTCATTACATGTTGTAGTTGTTTAACTGTGTATGTGACAAATAAAGAATCTTGAACCTTGAATGAAAATGGAGGGAGAGGGAGGGGGAGGGAGAGGATAGGGTGCTGGGGGCAGTGAACTGAACGTAGAAAGTCAACTAACAAACGTGAAAAGTGTGGTCAGAAGGGCGTAGCTTTTTAATCTGGGGAGAGGGCTTACAGGCTTTTCCTCAACACCTTCTCTTTGTTGTGTTTCTGTTGTGCACAAGCAGTTGCCTGCTCCTCTCTTATCCCAGCAGGCTGGGGCAAGACAGCCTTGGTTGACTGGACATTGCAAAGGCAGCTGGGAGCCGGGGCAGATTATTGGGAAGTGAACCGGCTTTGTTACTGCTAGTCATTTATTTAGAATACAATAGCGGTACTTCCTTCAATTTCTTTTGCATATCCAAAGAGACAAAGACACACATGTATATACAGGTGAGAGAACATTTGAGGGCAGCGTGCAGAGTCACCCAGGGTGCATAGCCCCGGGAGCAGTTGGGGTTAAGCTCCTTGCTCACGGTCCTAAAAGTGATATGCTGACGGTGCCAGCTAAAGAATTCACGATTTTTAGGATACGGGTAAAGATTCCTAACCTACTGAGCTGCACAGCACCCCCTTTTTGATCTTATATTCTTGGGCTTTAAATAAAGTATATACTGGTGCACCACTGAGGCCATAAGTCATCTGCTTCCTGTTCCCTTGGGTACAGGGCAGTCACTGGTGACAGTCCAGCTAGGTACTGTAGCATATAGAAGTTCTGCCTCAAAGCCACCAAACAGAAGCTTCAATATCAATTTCCACCTATTTTTTTTTCCCTTAAAGGAACAAAAGGCACGTAAATGTAAATGTTCCTCAAGCTTTCACCCTGACAAAGAATTTTACTAAATGAGTTGGATTCCTCTTTAAGGTAGCCTGGATATTCGATGTTGCAATTAATGTTGGAACCAGCCAAATGAAACTAACTAAAAACAAAGTATTTTATCCATCCTTTATATTTTTTTATTAATACTAATTTACTTTCATAACTGTATTAGCATTTATAGAAAGTAGCACATGCTTACAGTTATCCAGACATGACTTCCTGCATTAATTACCTACTGTAGTTAACTTAATAAGCAAAATTCTTCATTCCTCCTATCATATTTCTGCTTAGAGTTTAACTGGTCATTAAATATAATTGCATTTATAATATAAATGCAGAGCTTAAAACTGATAAATTGGCTAATTTGACATAACCATCTACCTGGAATTGGAAATGAAATTATTTATTAGATGCAGAACTTTTGGAAAATTTATTGGTAGGATATTTTGGAGTTTTGGAGTCACAAATCTCAGGCTATAAGCGAAGAGTTATAGACTGCTAGTTAGCTCCTTAACTATTGTATAGGTGTCCATTCTAACTTTTACGTAAGATTTTCAGCCTTCTGCAAACCTTACTGCACTCCTGACCTACAATCAGATAGCTTCAGTAAATATGAAAAAGTAACCATCCATATTTTTTGTGTCATGACTGTAATGCAGACATCAGGATAACACATCTTTCTTTCAGGTTTTGTTTTTTGAACTATGATAAAGTCTGCTAGAATGTAACATATAACTTGTATTGTTTTTTATTGCAAAACACTTTTTTTCCATTCATACTGTATATATTTATATAAACGATTTCAATTCTGAAATCATTCAAAGCAGGCTAAGCTTCTGTGTAAACTGTCCATTTCACAGAAGAATAGTCTGGTTTTGATGTTCTTTTTGATTTTATGCATGAACATGTACTGTGTGATGGACCCATTCATTGTGTGGTTTAAGAATGGTCAGTATGATGCATGTTAACTGTCTTTGAAGAGAATCCATGCAAAAAGTGATCTCCAGTCACAAATGATCTGAAAAGACAATAGAAGGATTGTAACCTTGGTAGCTGCAGTGGGAATAACACACAGCATTTGTGGAGCAGAAATGAAAATGAAAAGTAAACAAGTCTGTCACCAATGTCTTACCTGCTTCAATGACTTTTTTTATTATTATTTTTTTCCCCATGCCAGCAGATGACAATTTGCTTTACTGCAACAGCACTATTTTCTGATGGACTAGGAATGAGTCATTCATCATTTGTTAGCTATGAACAGGGACAACATTTTATTTTGAAAATAACAGCCGTATATGCTATACATGCTGGAATATAGGTGGCCCTATACGATTTCAGTATCTAATTTTAATTTAACATAAACTTAAAGTTGTTTTGTTATTTTTTTCTATATTTTTCTTTAAATGATTAACATCCTATTGATGCCCAGAACAGGTCTTACAAAAAGAACATAACCAGACAGAGACTGGACTGTTGTAATGTGGCAAACTTTCCAGGCAGCCTCTGAAACAGGTGTAGGAGGATGAGAGTAGTTCAGATAGAATACCTGGATGAGGGGTGGGTCAGGACTGTCGCTTGCAGGAACCCAGGAGCAGTGCCCTAGTCCATAGCCCTGCCAGTCTCTCGTGGTCTTCCACACAGGCTCATTGAGGACAGAAGTCCAGTAACACCTCGTCAATGCACATTGCGTCTCCATACAACAGTCTTGTTGGGTTGACAGGACTAGAGAATGGCTGATAATGAGGGCATATGAAACAGCACTTAATGGGGAATGGACCAAAATACCGTTGACGGCATAGGGATTGCAGACAATTGTCCTGCATTGACAGCCACAATTCACCTACCAGGCTGGTATGCCGGCACTACTGCTCCATAACTGTTGCCTCTGTGAGCCTGGACAGCATTACTCTCCTTTAGTCACTTAAAGGCAACACAGGTAAACTGCTGGAATCAGTTGTTTATCACTGGAATTCTTGGAGAATATACCTGTAGAATATACAAGAATTTCATCTAGGTAGACAATAATGCGTAGCATATCTTAGAGTACATCGGTAACAGATGCACAGGAAACCGACTGAGCATTACTGAGCCCAAAAGGTATAACTAAATACTCATAATGTCCAGTGGTCATTTGGAATTCAGACTTCCACACATCTCCTTCCAACCAAAGCATATGTACTGTACACATGGCAATGATCCACTGTGATGTAAATATGGACTGAACGAATCCTTTTGATACATAATGGAATGAGTGGCAACAGCTAATAGTTTTTTACTGTGTTCTGAGTCCCTGGTAATCAGTCTGAGGTTTCAGCTTGCTGTCCTTCTTGCCTATGAAGCAGAATCTGGTAGCTGCTGGTGAGGTGGATCGGTGGGTAAATCCCGCCTATTTTTAAAATAAATATGGATGACCTGGAGGAAGGACCAAGGCTTGATTTTTTCTAAAGACCTAACTGATGTGTGCATAGAAAGGCAGAATCTCCACCCACTCTATTATTGGCGTACAGTAGTTGCTCTTTTGTTGTTATCATCAGTTTTGTGTTCTTATTATTTATAAAATATCTAATACGAAATAAAGATCAGATGTACTTTTACACTGTTTTAATATGTTAAGGCACTGCAAGAATAAAGACCAATAACGGGAATCCAGTTTTAGGCTTGGGTCTGCTTACTTATATAGTGTTACCGTGAAATTTTATTGTTATAAAATCATTTTAATGAAATTGTATGACAGTGTATGAATTTGCTGGTCCCTCTACACACTAGTCCAATACCAAACAGCTGATGTGATTGAAGCATCTTATCTTAGAGGATCATGTCAGCAGACAGAATGGGGATGAGTGTGCATATCAGAGATATAAATGAGCCAGTTTCACTGGAGTATAGTGGACATGCTGTGTGGTCAATCTCTCATTCTACCTCCTAGCAGGCACACAGTAAATAAATATGTAAGCTGTCATTGGTAGGGAACTTTCTTATCGTAGTTCATTTTCAGTTTGTTCTTATGTATCCAGATGTACATGCTGTGGTTGTTATAGTTCAGCAGTGTTCATTAGTTTCATTAGTTTTTTATTTCATTTATTTACATTTTCAAATTTGAAATGCAGTTTGTTTTTTTTTTTTAAATCTATGTTGTTTTTGCTTTCAGTGTTACAGTGAAATACTTGATTAGGGAAGGTAGCTGAAAAACGAAGGAACATAGCTTTGAAATATATAATCATAATAAATAGAACTTCAAAATGTTTCATACACTACAAAACCACTGATTGTTAGTGAAATGTATTTCAGCAATAAAATGTAATTCTTATTCACAAAATTTGTAGTATATTGAAAAGAACTTCAGAAATACCATCAAACTGCAAATGTGACATCCGTACTTCCCACTGACAAATGCGCATATGGAAGTCAGTACAGTATGTGAGAAACATAAGGCTGTCTGTTTTGTGTTTTAGCTTAGACAATAGGTGTAAAAAGGATAAGAAAAAAAACGAATCAGACGGCAGATCATTAGACACAACAAAGTAACCGGTATCCACTGAGAGAGAGTTTGTTGGTGTATTTGATAACGAGCAGTATAATGAACAGTATTCAACATCTTTTTAAGTGGTATAAACAACTTGGTTTATATACCTTAGCAACTTCAGGGAGACTTTAGATGTGAATGTGTTTGGCAAAGAAATATTACTAAATGGCTTTTTTTCGGAAAGGATACATTGGTAAATCTCAGTTGGTTGGAGTTCATTTTGACCTAGATTCAGCAGAACTGCAAGCACAGAACTGCGAGCTAAAGTTATGGGAATTTCAAAGTCTTCTCCAGCAACACTCTGTGTGTAGCATGTAATACACCCACCACGATTCCTTTGCAGTCAATTCAAATTTGACATTTCTATTACCTTGCTAATGCTGCCCTAGTACGAGGTAGACAAACTGAACTGAAAGTTATGTATCCATTAACTTTAAGATGAAGAATGGCCACCAGAATATACTATTATGATCTGTTGAATTAACCCAAGTGACCAATACAGTAAAACCAAGTTTTAAAAATGATCTTAAGGATTACTTCACTCTATAAGTATCATACTCCTTACCTATTACTGTATTTTGTATGATTTAATGCATTATATTCCACACAATAATGCAATGTTTGCAATTGTAATAAATGTAAATTCACTTTTTATTTACTTTATAATGACATTACATATATGCATATGTACATGTATATGTGTGTGTGTGCGTGTGTGTGTATACACACACACACACATAGACACACAAACATATGTCATCAAACTGTAGTATTTTCAAAGACTCCGCTTCACTAACTATCATTACGCTGCAGGAGCTAATTTAGATGCCAACTGCTGGACTGACTGAAAACATAATAAAGCTCAGTCTTCCTGTGGGATTAAAGGAGAAACAGTCCTATGCACAAAGCGGGTGAAAAATGAAATGAAAGTGCTAATGACTCTTTTTATCTCTAAAACAAGCACACCTTCATTCATCCCAGTTAGACGGATGAAAAGAAATGCTTTGATTAATTGGTCTCTCTGGTGATATTTTAATGAACAGTAAGGTCATCACATTGGCGTAAATTTGCTTGGTCCTGTTTTTTTTTTGTAAAAGAGACAAAGAGAAAAGCCACTGAGATAAGGGGTGTAACTCATTTATTTCTACGGTATTTGAAGGTAACAAAGGTAGCTAGCTATTAAACCGAACCGAATATTTGGGAAGCAAGGCCGAAATCAATATTTCCTACGGCTATGTATCACAGCAAATAATTAGCAGCAAATATGCTGTGTGTTACGCACGTCTTGTCTGTTTATTATAATTGATCTTGTTTAGAATCGTATCTAAAAGCAGTGAGAGCACTTAGGAGAACTAGGAACGGCTGAAATCTCACGAGACCCTGACACGGCTTAGAAGCCCGGAGAGTTGACTCAACATCAAACCCCATACAGGCCTTTGAACTGCCCTGGTACTGGGAAAGGGGAGCTGAAGGAGAAAGCTTTCCGTCATCCAGTGATTGATATGGACATTTATATGCTAATACGTAGTGTGAAGCTGTTATGTTGTAATTACTCTCACATATGATGACAATAATAATGCTGATTATTGCAGCTGACTTTGCAGATGAGCAAAAATTTATTTCTTAGAATGTACTCAGACAAGCAAAAAACATGAGCACATACATTTTAATGGCAAGCATACAACCACTAACGGGTTTGAGGCTAAAGGTTAGGCACCTTGTTTTTTTTCCCTTAATTATTGTTTTTTCACCTCACAGTGCTGAACAGGAGCACTTAGAAGATGAATGGATGAATTACCATTTTTCTATTGCAGGCATAAAAGCATGTAATAGAACACCAAGAACATTGTACCACCCACGTGAGAATACTGTTCATCGACTTCAGTTCAGCATTCAACAACATCATCCCTCAGCAGCTGATCGGTAAGCTGGAGCTGCTCGACTGAACACCTCCACCTGCAATTGGATTCTGGACTTCCTCACTGAGAATCCTCAGTCGGTCCAGATCAGCAACACCAGCTCCAACACCAACACGCTGAGCACAGGTGCCCACCAGGGTTGTGTGTTGAGCCCGTTGCTTTTCACACTGCTGACCCATATTATCAAGTTTGCAGACGATACCACAGTAGTGGGATTCATCAGGGACAACAACGACACATGGTACAGAGAGGAGGTGCGACGGCTAGCAGCCGGGTGAAGGAAAATAATCTATCTCTTAATGTTGGTAAGACAAAAGAGCTGATTGTTGACTTCAGAAGGGCTAAGACTGGCCACTCCCTGCTCTGCATTTACGGTGCCACAGTGAAGAGAGTGAAGAGCACTAAGGTCCTCAGTGTTCACATCACAAAGGACCTCTCCTGGACCATAAACACCAGTTCCCTGACATAAAGATCCCAGCAACGCCTGCACTTTCTCCGTCGATTGAAGAAAGTGCACTTCCTCAGGCCTGTACTCACCACCTTCTACAGAGGCACCATCGAGAGCGTTCTGGCCAGCTGTATTACAGTCCGGTATGGAAACTGCCACGCCTTAGACTGCAGAGCCCTTCAGAGGATTGTGCGGACACCTGAAAGAATCATTCATAGCTCTCTACCCAGTCTGCAGGACATTTACACCTCCTGCTGCATCTGTATGGCCACCAGCATCGTGGCTAACCCCCACCATCCTTCCCACGGACTGTCCCCCCCCTCCCCCTTCCATCTGGAAGAAGATTCTGCAGCACCAGGAGCAGATCTGCTAGACTCTGCATTAGCTTCTTCCCCCAAGCAGTCCGGCTTCTGAACACCATGCTGCCCCCTTCCACACTGGACTGTCTCCTTAACATCCTGCTCTGCCCTACTTAACCCCCCTTATAATGAACAAATGTTTTATTCTCATTGCATACTTCCACAACTGCTCATATTTACACAATGTAATTGCACAAAAAATTGCACAGCAGTACACATCTACACTAAGCACTGTTTCTCATAGTCCATAGTCTATAGCCTATTGTTGTATGACATGTATTGTATTGTCACAGTCTCCTGATGTGCTCCCCCTCCTAAAAGTCTTCTTAGATAGTTTTATCTTATTTTTAGATATGTGTATATGTATATTTGGAGATATATGTGCAGATATTATATATCCCATCCAGCCCCTAATTATCCTCACTGTCGATGTCTCTGAGTCTGCTCTTGTCCTGTTGTGTTGTACGTTGCACCTTTGGTCCCTGGAGGACGTTATTTTGTTTCCCTGTGTGCTTTAATTTATATGGTTGAGATAACAATAAAGCTCTACTACTACTACTGCTACTATTATGATTACTACTACAACTGTCACCACTACTACTACTGCTACTACTATGATTGCTACTACTGCTACTACTATTACTACTACTAAGAGTGTTTTTATTTTATTTTAACTCTTTGCTTGCAGTTTTTGCTGTAGCAATAACTGTTTTTTTACTTATTTAAATACTTTGCTTTGGATCTCATTCTGTGCTCCTTGAAATTGTATTACTGAAATTCTACTTTTACTTTTAATTATGTGTTTAATTGTGCCTTTTCTTCTTTTGAGCTTAATTTGTTTGAGCATCTGCATACATCTGCAAACTGCCTCCATTGCGGGCACCTGTTTTATTTGTTACACCAGCAAGAATGGGCTCAGATGCCAATATAGGGACCAGCCAGAGCCTAATGATCATTAGGGGGGGAAAAGCTGTTCAGGACTATTTATAGACAGCTGGACTAGGGGGACTTTTCCTGGAGTCTCACGGAGGAATAACGAAACAAAGTCATAGATCTATCTGGGGATGTAATTAGGTCTGATATATGAATTTGGATAAATAAATGGATGAAACTTACCTGGGGTTTATTAAGGAAGTTCTCACGCAGTGAAACTTTCTTCCACATAACTTCTTAAATTGGCTCCTTGAGAAGAGGGACGTGACAAATTAGCATGTACTTCGCAGTTAAGGGTATTTTACAGGACATGAGTAGCAAAAGTAAAATCAGGTTTAGTAAAACATTAACTTGAAGCACATTTACTGCAGGGACCTCAACATATTCATATCTGTGTATCTGTGTTTATGTCATTTAGCTGACAGGGAGGTTTATGCCCTTTCAGCCTCCTGGCCTGTAAATGTATGAGAGAATCGTCATTGATTCAGTTTAACTATGCAACAAAATCTCATTTTACGTGACGCAAAATGGGCAAAACATTCTTGGCCAGTTATATGGTCATTAGTGATGGACTGTCAGTTTTTCCTTGCATAGTCTGTTTTCTTTTCTGGATTGAGCATTTGCTTTTTCCGACTTTGTGACATCTTTTTTTCACATTTGTTTTTTTTCCCAGAGTCCTATGCATATGGTTTATTTTTTCCCTCTTGCCATACCTCAGAAGCAGGTGGAATGACTGGAATCAAATGGAACAATCCACAATTCTAGCCAAGCGAAACAACACACTGCCCCTGTAATACAAACAACTCCACAGATGAGGACTAGACATCCAAGGAAGGTTATAGCTTGTAAAAGAAAAGTGTCTTGAGGTGGTTGAGGAAATTGCTTTTAAAGCCCACGATTTGAATACGTTATGAGATCTATGCAGTATTTTAACTGAACAACTAATTCCAGTGCATGAAAGGTAATTGAAATTAAATTGCCCTAAAAGATTGTGTCGGAAGATATTTCTCGTGCTACATGCACATTTTAGTCCCATCCCCCTTATTTGATCATAGCCATCATCCAAAGGCAGTGTATCCCAAACAAATAATTCATGTGGTTTTTGGGTGTCATAATATGTTTGTTTTTTTGTGGACATTATTTAATGAAGTTTGTGCAAAACTATGAGAAGTACTGTAAAATCCTTGAATTAAATCAGATTAATATAGACAGAAAGAAAATATATTTGTTGCTGTAATAAAAGTCACACTGGCTTTCTGTAGTAAATTGCAGTCAAAATAAAACATAAAATCAATTTCTGTGCTGCCACAGACCTGTTATGTTTTTGTTATTGTTACCATCTGAAGTGACATGTGCTCAGTAATTCTGAATTCATGAATACTTTATCATAGGAGGTATAGTCTTTCCAAACATTTTTTTTTTAATATTGAATAAAAATATACATTGCATTTTTCTTGGGTATTTTATCAATAGGAACTAAATAGTATTATTATCTTTTGGGTTGGATCGTGGTATTCTGTGGTGGAGTATTAATGATTCATTACTATTGTATTTATACTATCTTTTTAGAAAATTTATTACAGTTTTTCTCAGTTGCTTTGGTACATTTCTCAGATCAGAAAAGAAATTCTCATAACTGTCTGTACAACCTCCACCTCATCGAGTCACTTGTGCACATCGTAAATGCAAAGTCTCAACTTTTTGGTATAATTGCAAATGCTTTCATCTGCTAATTCCTAAATTATCCGTTGTTTTTGTCATGTTGGCCAAAATGTATTATACTAGTACTCTGTTGAATAGTCTTAACCCCCAAAACATCTAGGCATTAGTTCATTGTAATCATTACATGCAAAATGGTTGAACAGAGGCACGTTCCTGATGAAAAAAGGGCCACAATTGTGGACCATGGCCTCAATCATGGCCTTACAATGGCCAAGGCTGGTCAAAGGGTGCAGCCAAATATTGGGAGAACAACTGTGCTGTTAGGTATTCAGACATTTCATAGAGACAACAGGTATGTTTATACAGTCACATACTGGACATATACTATAGCACATACACACATATTTATGTATATTTACAGTGTGTACATACATATTTACAGTGTGTGTTACAGTGTATGTATAGTATGTGTAACTTTGTACCGTATAATTTGATATGCCATGCAGAAAAAGTCCTTTTGTATTTTCAATCATTGTCATCAAAACCTTAGCCATAGTTTACATGAGAAAATACTTACAGAGTGCACTGTTCTATTGACAGCATGGCTAAGCATTTTGACCATCTTGTTCATGAATAATAACACAGTAATAAAAGGACTTGTCATTCTGATATCACTGACAAGTTCATTTACATAAATATTTACTTTTGAGGGATAAACAAAGGATTACAGGCTTTTGCAGTGATCCATTGTGTGGTGCAGTTTGTACCAATTGTTTCAAGAAATGCACTTACTTTTGCCAATGTTAAGGATGATTCGTACCAAATGTACCAAAATGACTGAGAAAAACTGTAATTTTCTATTAATTTCATGTTAAACGATTTAAAACAGTCTAAAGTACAGGCAGCTACTTAATATTTTATGGAAAATTGGTGCAAATACCTACAAATGCAACTCCTCTACAATTGGCACTAGACCTTAGTAATGTGTCTTCAATGCCAGCTACAGAGAGCTGGAGGTCATTGCCTGGTAAACCTGGGCAGCAATTCAGAACCAAGGGTGCCCTGCAATGTTTTGCCATGAGAGCAGAAACCATTGTTCAGCCGGCTGACAAGACAATACACAAGATCAGCATCAAGGGTGCATGCTAAATAGTATCTAGACCTGAGAATGAAGGGTTAGCATTACTAATCATTTATTACATTTTAAAACAACATGATTTATCTCATGATGTTTAAATGACTCCATTTTAATATATCAAGCTGAATACCTCTGAAACCCTTTTTCTAATGATGATGGAGATACTGTACAGTATGTATGTATATATGTGCAATAATAATTATTATAATGACGACATTATCCTTACATTTAGATATAGAGCTACATGGACAGAATGGTAAGGTTATTAATAGTTTCAAAGCTTACTTTTCATCAAAATAGAAGTATTTGGTAGGTATATAAAATACTAACTTTGCTGCAATACAAGATACATTTAAGCAACAAGATACAAACTCTACATAATCAGCATGCAAAAATATGCAAGGAAATAGGCATAAATCTACAGTCATATCAAAGACGTTTTATACTATAACTGCAACATTCAATTTGTTTCTTTTTTTTTTAAATTTTGTTCATAAATGTATTTAAAATGCTTAATTCTGTATAAGGGTATATTTTCTTTGATGCTGTGACAGCATATGAACTAAATTGAATATGTAAACAATAAGAATAACTTTCAAATTTGATTACCTTTGATTTATTACTTATTGAAAGCATAGAGTACCATTGTTAGTCTTCATCGAGTCTCTAACTGTTTTCACCCATTCAGAAGTAACAGAGATAACAGAAAACAAAAACAAATGAAACAGAATTATATATTTGCTTTCCAAATTATGAATACTGATTAAAATTATTGAAATTATAGCCATTTGAGATAAGAAAAAAATAAACTTCTACATTGAAGAATATTATATGAAAATGTATAAAGCGATATATCAAGCAGAGCTTCATATGTTGACGTACATGCAGAACCGTGGATCTTAGAACAGCATCTCCCAGCATCACTCCCATGGTGTATTCTGCAGTTACATAGTTCCATAATTGATGCATTTTTTCTTTTATGTAAGAAATCATTAAATTGCTCACTGCCCAGCAATCTATGCTTCAGTAAAAGATTTGAATTAAATTGCAGCAAATGTGTTGTGATTCTCATCAGCCCAAGTTATAATTGATAGGTGGTTTTCCTTTGGCTTGTGTGAGACATCAGGGGGGTTTCTAATGAGATGCGCAGTGACTGTATATCATTCTAACAGAGGACGAACAATTTGAACTGGAGGGCAGTGTTTCCACATCCAATCAGATTGTATCTATTGTGGGTTTATCACTGATATGCTTTTTAGTAACATTATTAACATCATGTATACCCCCATTACTGCTTCTGTTTGGTAGATTCCAATTTCCCGACTTTAAGTGCATGCTCCAGGACACAGAAGGCAGCTGGCAGATGCCCCCTCAAGCCTGTGCCAAATCACTGTCTTCGGCAAAGTGGGGGAGGATCGGGGCGTCTATGATGCTGGCAGCAAGCGGCCTACAGGTGTCTCGAAGGTCTGAAGGTGGTGCTTACCTAGCGGTCGCTCAAGGTAGCCCATCCGACTTGAACCTTCTCCGTCCTGACAAAATGATGAACAGCTTGAGTTCCCTGTGTATGTCATTTTTAGAGACGCTAGATGCTCATTTAAGATAGTATTCCCTCGACCAGCTTCGTTCCAGCGCTGGCTATGAACTTCTGCCTCTCATTTCCAAGCAACCGGATTAAAAAAAAAAAAAAGAAAAACAAAACAGCTGCAGACCTGCTACACCAGTGGTACTGGGCCAATGAGGATTAATGTTTTTTTTTCTTTTTAAATACAAATGTTTTGGAACACCATTTTCAAATTTGCATCATGCATGTAAGTGTTTTTTTTTTTTTAAAGTACTTTTCAACCAACCAATTGGGTATGAAGAGTCATAGTACTCAACCGGCTGGTTGAAATTTTGGTCTGGATTTTTACTTATACTATCCACCTCAGGGCTGTGGGTTTGATTCTTGCTCCAAGCTCTCTGTGAAAAGAGTTTAAATATTGTATATAAATTGTAAGTAGTGCATGAATCACGATGGACTAGCATCTCATGTAGGGCGTTCCCCTGCCGCATGGACGCCATAACCACATACCAGATGATGGTTATATGGATGGATGCTGTATATGTTTATATTCTGCATTTATATAAATTAATTCCTAAATTTTATCTGTGATTAGTGTGGTTTTAGTGTTCGGTTACCAGCCCTATATTTACCGCTCAGACAGAGGACAATGCTTTACTTTTAAGTGATTTTCTTATTAATTTAGCTTTTTTTCCAGGTGGAACAAAAAAGGCAGTGGAAAGCTAACCCCTACGCCCCTAATTTTCCCATCAGAGAAACTCGAGCAGGTTTCAAAGACTCTGTTTACATACACTTCACATTAATTAGGAGGCCCTTTTCAGAGAATTGCACAACTGATTATATGAACTCAAATTTAATGTTTGGACATGCATTCACATTATTTAATGAAGTCAA